CAGCAAACAAGCCGTAAAGCGCCGCAAAGGCATACATTCCTGCTGTCGAAGTGATCGCAATCCAACAATATAGTAGAAGAGCAGTGATGAAACTGACAATCAAGCTGATGGTCAATGGCCGGCAATAGCGGCCAGCAACGTACGCGGGTAACAGACGTCCCGGAATGCCGATGCCGTTTAGCACCAGGAGGAGCGGTATCGATTCTTCCAACGTCATACCCAACGTTGTTCGAGCGAAAGCATTGATCTGGGTAAGGTCAGCTATTTGTTGAAGAAGATTGCGGTATGTACTTACATAGAAGAAAGCGAACCAAAGACCTGCGAAGCAAAAGACCGAGCCGAGAATCTGTGTACGTTAGCAAAGACGTCCCGGGTTCGTCGAATCAGACCACTTACGAAAAGATCAAAGACCGGGTCCTTGAGCTCACTCGGTTCGAGCATCTTGACCGCAACCTTTGGTGGAAGCCGCTTCTTTAGCAGCCGCTCAGCAATCAATAGCATGACCAGCGCCATGAAGCCCAACGTCCTCACCGCCCATCCAAACCCGATGCGATCAATCAACCTGTTGAGCATGATCGGAATAACTAGCCCACCAGTGCCCGACCCGCATAACGTGATACTAATTGCAAAACTCCGCTTTGTCGCATCGAAATATGTCGAGATCACGGATACCATGGGCACGAACATGCATCCATTTGCGAAACCGATGCAAAACCCCTGCGCAAGCACGAACTGCCAGTACTCCTTGCAGATACTTGTCATGAAGATGCCGACCAACCATAGTCCAATGCCTACGCGCAGAACAAGCTTGAAATGACCGGTGTCTGACGCGGCGCCAGACCAAAGAGGGATGGACAGCAGGAAGAAGACGGTGAGTGCACCGATCCATGAGATATTGGACGCGGTCGACAGTCCAATGGAGGTATAGTGCGCTTGGAACATACCAAATGATGTGATGAAGCCCCAGGTGAAGAAGGTGATGATATGCCCACCTAGCACTTGTGACCATGCTACCCATCCGCCATTGGGAGGCGGCTCGGTAGATGCGACTCTCGTGACATCAAAGGTTGAAGATACTTCTTGCTTGGTTGGCGCAATATCCTCCTCTTCGATCTGGCTGAACTCTTCAGTTGGTGGATCCGGTCCAATGGCGGCCATGTTGTTGCACGGCAAAAATGATGTTTGACCGCAAGGTCAGTCGACCCCAGGATTCTGCTTCCCCAGACCCATACTTTGCTGAGTCACATCTTGCGGGAGATCGAGTTTTGCGAATTTTACAAGCTCAGTTTTCCGAATTTATGAGGTAATAGGAGGGGATCGGTGGCGGGATGCCCGCCGCAGCGGTCATTGCCGGCGGGCCAGGCGAGGCGAGTACGTCGGATACGGCACGCTCTGCCACTGCGCTTGAAGCAACGCTCGGAAGCCAGCCTCGCGCATTGAATGCCTAGCTACGTAGCTCAGACAACGCAGTACGCGCAATGGGTTCTGGGTTTGGCTTTTAGAATGATTGTTTGCGCATCTTACTTAGGACAAAGCCTCGTGGCAATAGGGTGATGTTCGCAGCGAAGTGGTAGACTTGGCGGAGTTACCCCACAGCCTCTCCCAGCCAATCATGTGCGCGCGCCTTCCAGCTTCCGAGGTCCGTCTGATATCAGTATACAGTAAAGAAGCAGCCACGATGCCCGCTACAGCGAGTCAAGTCTTGCTAAAGAGAATATCACCGGAGAGATCGATGATGCCGGAGTGACGCAACAAGTTTACGATAATCAGAACCTTGTCGTATGGCTCTACTAGGTACTACCTAGGTGCTACTACTACTACTTAATCTTAACACTTAAGTATGCAGGCTACTCTTTTTCTACAAAGTAGAACTGCGGCTGATAGTAGATTGGGTGCGTCTTCGCGACCATTAGGGTTCACTCATAACGGCTCGAAGAAAAACGAGGACTCGCCGGTCCAAAGGTTAGTTAAAAACAGCTATCAAGAGTCGTGCTCGCGGATGTTAAAATATCTCGCTTTCTTCCTAAATCTAGTCAAGCTTTAGATGCTAGCTGAACTGGTGATATATTCCGAGTTCTTTCGGTGTGTGATTGATAGATACTAGTACGCCACTCCCTTCACTCATCGCATTGGGCTGGAACTCGCACCTGAGACAGCCTTTGGGGGACGGTACTATCAACGCGACGACGAAACACTGAAAAAGTCTCAGTGCGACCCTGCGTGGAGAGCGTTTTGGAAAGAGAAAACTAGGTCGTTCTAGAGGCAGTAAAAACGACAGATTTTGTTCAAACACGAAGGGGACGAAAAAGTCTGTGAGTCTCGACGGTACGTTGACGTGATTGGAAATAAATCCTTCGCGAGGGCCGTGGTCTTGCAAGTCGCTTCCGCTCTGTGTCTGACCAGAGCACTCTACTACCATTTCTGATGGATGCCTCAACAGTAGTCTCGAGATGCTCAAACTTAAGAAATTCCATCTCCAGGCTCGGCAACGGATGCTATCTTCCAGCGGGATCAGTTGCCCTGGATTATTCAAGGATCGCAATCCTATTGGCGCGTTGATCACTGGAAGCCGTGGGATGAGGTGCAAGATCCCTGGAAAGACCTAGCTGGGCAATATTTGAAAGTTCTACTCCTCGACTAGCATGATTGGAAGAAACCCCAATTGCCATGGGAGTGTTATTACGACGGAGAACTGTAAGGTAGGTACAGACGCGAGTCGTGAACAGCGTCTACATAGGCTCAGTCGCCATAGTCAAAAGGATTGTGCGCCGTCGTTAATCGCGAGGCGCTTTTTATTTTGATACGTCGCTATGTCACCACGGCTGCTGTGACATAAACATCTTTTAGCTGAGAAGCAACGCGTTCATCGAGACCCACCATGTGCAGAACAACGGGATGCCGATGTACGAACACATCTTGTCGTACTGCCGTGTTATCCAACTCTCAAGTACCAAGCTTTTTGTAGGGGTTGCCGAGATATCAGAATACCCGGTGGCACTGATGCTGTTCTATCCCTTTATGGCTGGGCTACCGGCAGGACTAACGCCAACAGAACACAGCTGTTGGTAGCTTCTTCTTCTAGTAATCCTCTAACGAGATTGTGGCTCGAGGATGCAAGCAACCGCAACGATTGTTCGGGCACCTATGCAGGGCAAAAGGGATGGAACCACAACAGGCTCGTATAGACGTCTCCACCGTAAGCAATGCTGACGCCCAGGTGAACGATCAAATTTAACGTGTTCGTATACTGCATGTATTAAAGCTGTCCCCTCTTGCTGCAATGTGATACCCCAGGTACCCCTAAAAGGCCCATCACGTTCTTTTTGCAGCTCCAGCCCTACCTGCGGTCTCCACCTCCACACTCTCTAATCGCTATACATTACTATACAAACATAATCCTTAATCATGTCGTTCAGTATTCGCAACACCATCGCCCTGGGCGCCTTCTCCGCCCTTGCTGCTGCGCAAACCGTGCCCCCGAAGCTCGACGCAACTTGTGCCGATGTGGTCATATTCATGGCTCGTGGCAACGACGCCCCATACCATGACGGTCGCACTTTCCCCTTCGTCGAGGCCACCTGCGGCAAGTTGACTGCTCAGGGCAAGAGCTGCGACTACATTGACATCCAGTTTGATGTAACCCTTGGTGGAGACTACTGTAACCAAGTTGCTGAGGGCGCTCGCAATGGTATCTCTCAGATCACCGCCTTCAACGAGAAGTGCCCTTGCTCGCACATTGTGGTGAATGGGTACTCTGAGGGAGCTCACGTGGCCGGAGATGTGCTTGGAGGACCGGTAAGCATCATGTGAGAACCGGGCACCCGTGAGGCATGTGCTAACTACGTACTGCGATATAGGGTGGATGCACATTCGTCTCGACCGGCCTAGACAACAACTCTGCTGCAGGCAAAGCGGGTAAGCGACTTCGACGATACTACGGCAATGTCCTTCCTAACATGTTTCAGTCGCCGCGGCTCTCCTCTGGGGAGACGTGATGCATACCGCCAACCAGCCCTACAATGTGCTTGACGGTGCCGACAAGCAGTCTAACGGGCGTAAGCCGGAGGATCTTGCTCGCCTCAATCGCTACGCACCCGTCCTTCGCTCCTACTGTGCTGCCGGCGACCCAGTCTGCGCCGGCGGAAACGTTGTGGCCGACCACTTGAACTACTTTGAACTCTACACCGACGATGCTTCTTCCTGGGTCGTCTCCAAGATCGACAGCGTCGCACCTCTGCCGTCGTGCGGTGCCACCAGCTCATCATCCTCTGCTGCCGCCTCTTCCGCTACCAGTGCGGCCGTCACCCAGTCTTCTGGCGTCGTTCCTACCTCGTCTGCCGTGGTCACTGCGTCTGCTACACCTACTAAGGCTGAGTCTTCTGCTGCTGAGACGCCTTGCTCAACCTCTCCGGCAATGGTTTCTCCCTTCCCCGAGCCTGTCCCCTACAAGCCCGATGCCTGCGTCCTTGAAGTTCACGTAGAGTATGCCTACGTATAGTTTGAGCAAGATGGAGCCGAAGGAGCAAGTACCACCACTACAGTGCAATGCGAAAAGCTGTCAGCAGCGACAGTATTGCGACAGTATATAAGACGTGTTGCCACCTTCAAAGTCTTGTTCCTCTAGCTCTCCTCTTGTAAAGTGACCGTGTTGTAGCCGCATCATTCGATGTTCCCGAGGTCCGATCTGTTTGTTAAGGCCACTTCAATCTGGACGGAAGCTAGGAGTGTCATTTAAGTTGCATCTCGAAATGAATTTGGAAACACTGAGCGAGTGAACGACGGGAACGTTGCGGATCGCCGGTATTAGCTCAACATATTGAGCTACGACTTTTCCATGTTCCAAGCCTGTCGATACGCGATGGAAGATGACGCCTGTGAGCCTGTGTAGAAGTAGGTGAAACGGCTTTGTATCTTCTTAAATAGATTCCTACACTGCGCTATGTGAACTGAGGTTCCTGTCCGTCTGTTGGGCCGACAGGCGATCGTCACGCAAGTCGAACATGACCAATGCTGACGACCTTGGAGCGAACCGTGGCTGTCTTGGCATTCCCGCGGAGTTCATAGGCATGCACGTCACCTTCCCCATCTCATCGCCAAAGCTCGCCCAAACCTCACCCAAATACCACATCAACGCCGCCATGTACCGGATACGACCGCGATTCGTACCCATTCGCGCTCTACCTCGCACGTATCAACCCTCATTCCAGCATGTCCGTAGCCTTCCACAATCCCGTGCCTACCAGCAACTCGGTCGCAGTGGCCAGCAATACAAACGGTTCAACTCTCCCTCAGGTGGCCTCTCCGGTCTCCTATTTCGCTGGGCTGCCCGCCCAACGTTTTACCGTGACGTCGGTCTGATCAGTGTGGGCACTGGCGGCGTCTACCTGTACAATCTCGAAGAAGTGCCCGTCTCTGGTCGCCGCCGCTTCAACATCATCTCGCCTGGCATCGAAGAAGCGCTGGGACGGTCATCCGTAGAGCAAGTGCGGCAAGAGTACCAAGGCAGGATACTACCGGATAGCGATTCGCGGGTGAAGCAGGTGAAGAGGGTTTTGGAGCGTTTGTTGCCGTATGCCGAGGGCGAAGGGTTGAAAGACTTGCAGTGGGAGGTCACCGTCATCGAGTCTCCGGAACAGAACGCGTTTGTAGCGCCGGGGGGCAAGGTCTTTGTGTTTACGGGGATTCTGCCTCTGTGCAAGGATGAGGATGGCATTGCAGCCGTGCTGGGACATGAGATTGCGCACGTGGTTGCGCATCACACTGCGTTGGTACTCTTATCTCGGACCGATGAAGCATGCACTGACCAAAGAACAGTGAACGCATGTCTCAAGCGCCTCTGATCCTCCTCGGTGTTCTCGCCCTATCTCTCTTCGATGTCTCCTTTTACTCGGGCAAAATGCTCCTCGACCTCTTCCTCTCCATGCCCGCCTCCCGCAAGCACGAAGCTGAAGCCGATTACATTGGTCTCTTGATGATGGCGCAGGGCTGCTACCGACCAGAAGCTGCAATGCAGTTCTGGACGCGCATGGAGAAGGCTGGTGGGGCGGGGCCGCCGCAGATACTGAGCACGCACCCGAGTCACCACAACAGGGAAGAGAAGATTAGGGAGTGGCTGCCCAAAGCGATGGAGAAAGCTGAGGCGAGCGAATGCGCTGTCACGAGTGGGTACGGTAAGTGAACGCACGCATACGGTATGATGACGAGGATCGTGACTGACGCGACCCAGCTACTCAATTCAGCTCCGCGTTCGATAGCTTCGGACGCTGGTGAAGCGTCGGAAGCCCTTTGACGGTAGATGACTTGTACTAACACCCTGTATACCACCTGATGACTACACTAACATGATGCACCACGAGAAATGAAGGTCCCATCCCTGAACCATCCCAGATAGTCTTGGATGTGAGTAGATATGAGATGAATTGATGATTTACTCTAACATGAGATGAGAACTGCCTATAAAGGCAAGCATGCTTGCTGCAAACAGTTGTAAGCAAGCATCGGTACGTACATAAGGTACATGCCAGCAAACCAACAGATAGTGCGCTATGGGCCACAGGGCAAACATTGTAACGTAATGTCATAATTTCTTATACTCTATTAGCCTCGGCACCCCGGTTCGAGACAGAACATGAACATCGGCCGTCCTTGCGACCCCTATACTCGGTCTACCTACCGATTCTCTCTCCTCGACCTCCGACGCGGTATCATCGAAGTAACTATTCCCCATATCCATAGCCTTTCCCATTTCAATCTCCGTAACGGTCAATCTCCTCTCCACATCGAAATCGAATGCGCCATTCTTCTCTTCGGGTAATGCAAAGTCCCATGGCGATTTCTCGATATCGTCTTCGTCGTCCATGCTGACCAGGTTCTTTTCTCCCCAACTCCCGCGGTATCCTGGTAGAGTGGGTACCTCGGAAGGTGTGGTGGCTCGAGCGGGACAGTGGAAAACATGTTTGAGTAAAGGGGACAGTGAGGGAAGAGAGGCGGCCAGAATGCCGATGTCAACCTCGATTTGGGACCATACTGGAACCCAAGACCAGCCCCTGCGGTTCATTTGTCAGAAAATGCTACTAGTAAAGAGAACGGGCTAGGCGAAGGCGTACCAGCTGAAATCGACTTCTTGCCATGTACTTCCTGGTCTGATGGGACTGTCCGACATGACAATCTCGCAAAGGCGCATGGTGCTGGCTATGACCGGGATGACGCCGATAGAGAGAATGACTGCTAGAGCCGCTGAAGGGACGGTCAACAATGAGCGTTCATAGAGACATAAAGACGTCGACTTACTCCTTTGTCTCTTGTTGAATTTGATCACCCATATCAAAGGCAATGGGAAGATCAACAAGACAATATCAGTGACGACATTGATGGCACCCGAAATGACCATGAACATGGCAGCATTAATGCATCCATCGGGTTGGGCTTCGATATCCCAGACACGTGATACTGGTGTACAGATGAACAATTGAGCCTCCGGACGATGTCAGTTGTGCATCTCGTACAGATAGACGGGCATGAAACTCACAAGGAAGACGGAGAAACTAAAGGCAGTCATAAAGCCGGCCGCTGTCCATACAGCAGGTGACTGCACGATCCATGGCAGGCCCTGTTTTCCATAGCCGATTCGGTAGTACAGAGATAAGATGCTCATCTTGACCGCCCTGCAATAAAGTTAATCTTGGAAGCTGATGTCGAGAGCGATGTTGCAGCATACCAATTTGCGACAAAGTAGATGAGCATATTGATCCATTGGTACTAGTCCACTGTCAGTACTAAGTCGAGTGTCACAAGGTGTGTTGAACATACCATGAGCATCTCGTCGAATTGCTCCACGTGAAGCTCTGATGCATGTCGTCCCTGGCCATGCTCGATTTGCAATATGATGGTGACAGTCTGTGCGGCTCCGAGGGTAACGGCGATGGCGATGAAGAGATCGTCTAGGCCGAATTTCTTGACAACGTATCCGCGCGTGAAGCATCTACATTTTGTTAGCAATACGACATTTGCTCGTGGCGAAGATGGGTGCTTGCCGAAGAGCCACAAACGCCACAGCGACGGTATACATGGCCATACTGACTCGGCCTATGACGGGCCCTTGGTCACGCCCGTTCGCGACGTATACGATGTGCCCCATTGCGAGTTCGGTACCTGGTTGAGCTATACGATGTCCGAAGGTTTGACATGGGGCTACGAGAGTTGATGCTACGACGGCGCAAGGTTTCCAAACGCCCGACTGGAGAAGAGGAAGCGAAAAGCAAAGTGAAGGATGATGGCCAGACTAGAGGCTGGCAGACGGGACTTACACACATCTAATACATCGTGGACGAGTTACGACACCCAAAGTGCGACAGGGCGATGGGCACGTTGCAAGACTCGGCACGGCATTATTGAGGCGGCGCTGGTTGAAACTAAGATTGCCTTCCAGAAGCACATCAAACGGTGCACAAAGAGCCACGCGGCCTGTGCATGCCTCTTGTCGGCATCGGCACTGTGGGTTGTCGCGTGGTCATGGTGCGGCAAGCCCTGTCGCAGCGCGCATCTCGAAACCTTGTTTGGAGCCACGATCCCGGCACAATGGTATCGGAGGTTTGTGGGAGAACATGGCCTCGGGTTGCGTGGGCGGGAGGCTGAACGAATGGTTCGAGTGTTTTTGAGGTACACGGTGATTGGCCGCGCGCGTGCACCAGGCCGACGGGCTATCCCGGTGTGGCTGGTGACGATGGCATAGACGTCTTCTTGGACGTCTCAGGGGGGTTTTCACAAGGGCCTAGTCACTGCTTGCGCTGCTCGGGTGTTGGGCAGACCGACGATCAGATGGCGGGCGATGAAGAAACTCGGAGCATGAGGTCGAGGATCGCCGCGGAGGCAGCCTGGTTTCGGTTACGGGCGGGCTAGCGCTGATGCGTGTTGGACGTTGCATTCACGTCACTCTGGCAGCACCGCACGAAAAGCATCGAGGCTCCAACAGGCGGGCGGGCGAAGAGCAGAGGCATCCGCCGCAGCCACAACGCCTGCGCGTGTTGCCCAACGGAACAGGGAAGCCGCAACCCACCAGGCGAGCCGCTCCTGCCCTGAGGCGGCCTCAACGCTTGCCCGCCTGCCTCGACACTTGCCTGCCTGCCTGCCTCGGGTCGCTGGCACGACATTTGGCGTCACTGCGCTGTAAGCTGGCATGCTCCCCTCCTCTGTACCACACCTGTTCCTCTCCCGCCCCGTTGCATGTCCGCCTACACCTCTCACCAGTCTCCCCGGCCTCTGTGGCCTGCTAGCATACCGCCATCCTCAACCACTGACCATATTCCTCTGCCCGTAGACGCTCCCCTCGCCCACGACCCGCCGCGGCTTGCCAGGCACGCGAGCCATCCTGCATACCCCACCCTGCTCCCTCCACCCTCTCCACCCCCGCCGTTGCCCAACCCGACCCTCGACGGCACCATGGCCGCCCGCGCGACCATCACCTTCTCGCAGCCGGGCGTGCAGCCGCCCGTCTATGTCACCACCTCCCTGAACAATTGGACGCTGGTGCAGATGCAGCCCCTGCACGACAAGACGGCGTCGGGCGACCTCATCTTCAGCAGAGAGTTCACTGGCGTCGCTGAAGGCAGCCACCAGTACAAGATCCGCGTCGGCGAGGACCATTGGGTGCTGGACGAGTCGAAAGAAACCGGTATGTCCTTCTACGTCCTCGTCGACTGTCCCGCTGACTCTCCGCAGCTGCCGTCGACCAGGGCATTCGCAACAACCTTGTCCACGTCAAGCCTGCCAGCGAGTGCACCTCCCTGCGCCCAGTGTCCGAAGCTACCACCAACACAGCCGCCCTAGAGACTTCCCCCGGGAATCCCTCAAAGATGCCCGAAGACCGCAAAGACAGTACAATAAACCAGGAGCAGCTAGCTTACGATCAAATCCACTACGCCCATCTGCCTGAACATGTTGCTAAACGCGCTGCCGACTCAGAATCTGACCTTGAGGGCACCAAGGTAGACTCCCCGGTCGAGACAGCAGCTCCGAAAACACCCGAGATTCCTCTTCTGGTAGTCGACAAGACTGACCGTCGGCCTGCATATGGAGATGACTTTGGCGCCGGCGCTACGACCGCCCAAAAGGCTGCGCATGACATGAGAGCCGCGGATTCCCTGCCAGATCAGCTCAATATCGTGCCCGAGTCCCATACGGAGCCAGAGTCTGATGATGGCGAAGCTGCTCCATTGTTTCGCCATGAGTCTTTCCAAGCGGATCATGATCCTCAGATCGCTCCCGCTATAATCATCGACGATGAGTCTGCGCCATCATCGACAGACCAGACTAGTTCTGGAGAGGCCATAGATACACCTTCGGAGCCTGACGACAGTGACGAGTTGCATCTAGCGCCCTTACTTAGCCACGAGACGGGCTTCGAGAATGGCGGAGCGGGGCTGACCGACGGTCCACATTTTTCCCATGGAACTGACAACGACGATGACGATGACGATGACGATGATTTCGGTGGAGCTCCTCTCCTTCCTCACGAGACTGGCTTCCATGATGACGGCAGAATTCCAACCGAATCTGAAAATGACGAGGACGAGCTCGACAGGTATCCGTTGCTATCACACGAAAGTGGCTTCTCGGATTATAGGGGAAGCGAGATCGTTACTAAGAGTGATAACTCGGGAATCTCAGAGCCATGTCACTACGGGGCCTACGAGGACGACGAGGATGACTACGCTGAGAATGAAGAGGGCGATGCACCTCTCCTCCCCCATGAACGCGAAGCATCTGCTGTCAGTAGCACTGGGTCTGTTTTTTCAGAGGACGATACCCCCTTTTCTCTGGACAAGCAACCGACTTTTGGTTACGAGACGGACAACGCGAGAGAACTGTTCGGCGGAGCCGGCCGACACGACTTTTTTAGAGGGCGAACAGGAAGCAATCTTCCCCACAGGCTACCACAATCAGATGCGGAAGATCATGACCTGAACGATCCATCGTTGGAACGATTTCCCACTAGCCGTCAATCAATCTTGGAACGTGTAGCGACAATTGGCATGCATCTTCCCGAAGATGAATCCATGCACGAGCGGCCACATTCTCCCCAGCCATCTGTTCTATCTCAAGCGTGCTCCTCTGTCGATCTTGTACCTGTCAAATCGTACACCTCGCTAGCTTCTGTACCTGAAGACGAATTCAGCGACGAAGAGGAGGACCACCATGATCTAGACAGTATGCCATCGCCCGTGTACATCAGTCACAATACTACCCGCATGTCCAGTCCGCCCGCCAGGTTC